CTGATTTTATTCATCTTTTTTTCTGTTCATTCGTTTGTTCATTCACTGTTCATTCATTTGTTTGTCCATTATTTTTTTGTTTGTTTGTTCATTCTCTAACTTTTTGATTCGTTTATTTTTTTACAGTGTTTTAATTTCACTAGTAAGTTATTTTGATTGCCTCAATCGATGTTCTCTCTCTCTCTCTCTCTCTCTCTCTCTCTCTCTCTCTCTCTCTCTCTCTCTCTCTCTCTCTCTGTTTTTATGTTTGTCTTTCTCTCTTTTCTTCTTTCTCTCCTTTTTTCCTGTCTTTATTTCTTTCTTTTTTTCTGTCTATCTTTATTACTTTTTTTAGCTTTGTTTCATAAATTTTCATAGACCAATATGTGATCATCATTATGATTGTTAATGATATTTTTGTAATGCTTATTGCGCCTATCTCTCTCTCTCTCTCTTTCTCTCTCTTTCTCTCACTCTCTCTTTCTCGCTCTATATATTATGTTTATATATATATATATATGATGTACGTTGTTTCTATCTATTTGTTATAAGAATGTAGAATCATAATTTATAATTTATTCAATCAAACGATAACTATATGATTTTTAAAGAGAAACTCTTGTTTCTTTTTTCATAGTCGTTTTGCCAATGTTCATAATAATAATATTATTATTATTGTTATTATATTATTATTATTAATTATAATCATAAATTACCTATTTTAAATTCATTTTAAATGGATGTTGTCGTTTGTTGACATATTTGCGATTGGTATAGCTACATACATGTTTGTGTGCGTATGTATATGTGTGTAGTTTGTATGGGTATATATTTCTATATATCTATATATATATATATCTACATATATATATATATATATATTTATTTATATATATATATAACACATGCTTTTATTGGCTACCCCATCATGTTGGTTTTTGTAGATATTCGTTTACTTACACACTGATATTCAGAAAATATAAATTTTCTGTTTATTTAATTTTTTCTAATTAATTTATTTTAACAATTTTAAGCGTTATTAATATTAATAAGTTTTTGTTTTCTAATGTGAAATAAAATGATTTAGCATTTTAATGGAATACAATTTTCTGAAACAGATCGATTTTTGGTTTGGTTTTTAAACTTACCTACTTTTCAAAAGAATGTTGAATGTGTATTAACAAACATTTCCATGCAAACAAGTTAATCACTCGTTTAAACCGAAAATTAAATAAATTACTTTAAAATACACTTCAAAAAAGCTGCCCATTTAACCAAACAATCACCAAACACTTGACCTGATCATCAAACCACGAAAAATTAAACACCCACAAATAAGAATGACGTAAGCATTAGACCAAAAAAACAAATGTACAATCTCTAAATATAAATATGTAGCGCTAAATCATTTTTACAAAACTGCGCACCTAGCTTCGCCATAGTTACAGATTGATTTGTGTTTATAGCAACGGATCAATTGCTCTTTTTAAATGCTTCGTAAGTACGTGCGCTCTTATTTCATTTATCCGGATTTTTTCAGTTTTTTTTTGGTTTTATTTTAATTTATTAAAATTAGTTTAATTTTTAGTTTTATTATTTAGTTGTTTATTTTGTTCAGTTATTTATATATTTTAGTTACATTTTATTTAATTAACATTTGAATTGGATTGGAGAGAGGAGAGTTAAAGTGGTGTAAGTAAGAGGTGAAACGACTTGTAACAATCAATTCGTTGAGAACTCCGTTCGTTTGAATGAAGTTGCCGGCGTCAAAATGT